AGACAAACACGATACTACGGGTAAAATATTTGCAAAAATCAAGAACGCGCACGATACTTAAAAACGAGTCGTTCAAAGATCTGAACTCTAGAGTCTAGAGGGTTATCTAAAAACACGTTGTGGTTTGAATAACTCGTCTAGGATGTGCAATTGGCCGAATGATTAGTGGTTTGAGAATTTTAACACTTTTTAATCCTCAGCGCACCACAACCGGCATTGGAATTATGCGTCGTACACCTAAAGTTGACGCTCGTTAAGTTGTTGAAACGATTCTAAATGTCTACACGTATACCAATAATAATAAATTATTTATTATGCGTCGAGTAAACCTGCAATATGATTGTAAATTACAACACATAACTGTTCGAATATCTTTGACGGCGGATGATAAGTGAGATAGTGTATATAATATAAGCAATAGATATCTGATTAAGTTGTGTAATGAATTACGCGTTAATTTAAAAATCAAAAAAAAAATTCTATGTGTAATTTAATACAGCAAATACTTGGCACATGCCGCAGGCGTTATACGCAGTGAATTTGTTTTATTTTCAATGAAAGGCATTCGTTTTCTGTTAGTTGATAATAATATTGTTGTCCAATATTTTATGTAATTAATAAAAAAATAATGTCTTATTATACTAATATATATTTATATATATAAAAAAAATCTTCTATCCACACACTTAGTAGTTCCTACACACACGCATCATAGTTGTAAACGACACAGTTCGCAGAGCATGTCAAATACGTATCAAACACAATGAATGCAATCATATATGCCGCGCGCACATTATATGCGCCAGTGTCATAAGTCGTACCTACCGCCTAGGACGAGGTCCTGTGCGTGAACTGCGTACGTATTATTATTATTATTACAATGATTATTGTTGTTGATGTACCTACACCAGTCGGTGCTACATGATGTAAAACCAAAAACCGGTTTCATATTTGTCATCCTGTTACACCCACGACGACGACGCAGCACCGTTACCGCAGGTAGGTAGGTACATAATATTAAAATAAAAATAATAATAATATTATAAATTGTAAAACGATGACGATGTACGCCTCTATAATAATATCGTGCCCGATACTATGCGTACCCCCCCATGTTTGATGTGTGTGTGTGTGTGTGTATGTGTATGCCTTTTACAACATTATTATTATAATAGTAAAAAACGTGGAGGATAAACTCACTCTCACTGTTATAATAATGATCATAACAAGTCCTGCGTACGTGTCGACTATAGAAAACGCGCCGCCGTGTGTCGCGGCGGTCGAGACGAACGGGTGATCTGCTCTACGTATCGTAATGATAATATTATATTATTATGTTTGTATTTTATCCGTTTTACCTTAACCTAATGCGAGATACGTCGTGTGAGTATTGCGTTTACGCATAACCAACTAATATACGAATGCAGACGCATTGCCGAGTTGTAAAAAGAACAATAATTGTAAAGAATTTTTGTGGTCCGTGCAAGGGGAAAGGGAAACTCTGAGACGTTTATTGTGGAATGCATAACAGCTGGGTAAAACGTAGATATAGCAGTTTTACCAAATTAAGATGGACGAGAAGAAGTGAATGAACGTTCAAGGTCGATATAGCTGGTATTTTTTTCAGCGCATAACTTCAAAGGAAATACTCAGTCACAGTCGGTTGACTCTTGTCGCTGTTTTATCTACATAGCACTATTACAGAAGTGTATACCTAAACATAATGTATGCACTATGATTTGGCTAAAGTCTACATGAGAATGATCACTGCGGAAGTACCTGCTCGTACGATTTATTTTGGGCAGAAGAGATTCACCGTACAAATCGACAACGGCCGAGAGATGAAAAAAAAAAAATAAGTTATCAACACCAACATAATAGAAATCGAGTAAAACTCTTCATTACACATTATAATAATGTATAACAAAGTATTGTTCTAACGAGATAAAATATTGAGTTATAGCCCACCGTGATTTAGTTAATTAAAATTTAAAAAAAACGATTTCGGAATACGTATTATCGGAACCAAAATGAATAATTATTAATTATATTACATTCGTGTTAATACTGAAGTATTGTAATTTTTATTTTCAAATACAATAGACATTTAACTGATGTCGTATTTTTTCAAACAACTATATTTTAGAGCAGTGAGGTCATATTTTTTAACACGAGGACCTACAACGACGTAACGAAAAATGTGATACAGAGATCGTGTGTTTGACACTCGTCTCGTTTCGTTCACCTCGGTTCTGTGAACGATTAGTGTACTATTATTTTTAATTTGAACATTGCTATTATATCGCGTTAAAACAAGGTGATTAACAGATGTTGGTTTACCAAAACAAAAACAAAAAACGGTTAGATTATATAAATAATGAATGTTTACTGAAATCTGTATGGTTTTCATTTCCTAATAATTATTATATTATTAGTACAGAGATAATTACTATACAATATACATAATAGTATAATAGTAAAGGTGCATACTACATGCACTGTATAAAGCATACTGAATTCTTTCGCTGTTCGAAAGTGCTTTCTAAAAAAAAGTTAGTAATACACTGTTAAATAAATAAGTAACTTCGTTAAAATACGTTCAGAATCTTTTTTTTTTTAATTTAAAGTATCTGTTAGCCGTCAGATGTGTTGAATAATAAACTTAATTAATCGATAAAATTAGATACAATAATTTCAGGAAGTTTAGAGTGAAGAGACCCCTTAAAGTATAAATACTTAATACTTCAATGTGAAATAAACGCTCAGAGTCTAAACAATTTAAAATCTGCCGATTTTCTTTTAATTGATAAAATATTCGTGCACAAATATGTGAGACCATGGAATTACTGTTCAAATTATTGTTAAAGTTTTCGGGTAAATATCTAAATATGAAGTCAAGTCTTCAATCGTAGAAAATAGAGTTTTAGCCATCCATGAGAGAAGTTAAACTCAAGTGTACAATAACAATACGAATCATAATAATTGTACATGCTTGCTGTACTTAGGAAAACATACTAACTAACAGCAAATGTTTTGAGTACCAATGTATAAAAAAAGTTATTATAATGTTACAGAATGTTACAGAATGTTTACATTGTTTTAAGCCATTAGAAACACATTTACTAATTCAACAACACTAATCTGTAATGAATTGATTTCCCTTTTGCGAAAAATATGGTAAAAAAAAAGCGTAGAATTCGACTACATTATAAGTATACATTTTTGATGATAAAAAAACGTCATTAGAAAGTCACTGCATGCTATGCTTATTATGTTCAGCTAATTTTTATGAGCTATAGCATATGTGGCACGTGCTAAAGCTGGTTGGGTGACTTAAAAGAGGACAACAATCGTTTGACCCACATACACGTTTGGGTATCATATCATTAAAACCTATTTTAATTTTTTTTTTTTTTTAATTTTAGTTTGAGATAGAAATAAAATAAAGGTTTGGTTCTTAATACGATGTTAAATGTACTATAATACTATTATGATGTATAGGCTTTTTATTACACTCAAATGAATGCATAATTATAGGTTCAGTTTACAAAACTGTTACATAGAAAAATACGAAAATAATAAATATTTATACAGCTAGTGTATAGTAAATATATAAGTAGGTACCTAACTATTTAAACGAGATCCAAACTCAATAAATTTAATTTAATTGGAATAGCATTCTAAATTTTTATGCACAATGCAGCTATGCTATGCATGTGGTCGGTGCAACACGATTGCGCGCACTTTTTACCTTTTCATATTTGAGAAAATACAAAACGATTGTGCACCTTTTACCTAATTACTTTAAGTTCTTGCCTATGTTGAAGGTTCAGCTTCTGTTGCCCATAAAATCGGTGGAAAAGTGGTATTAGTTTATTAATAATTATTGAATATAATATAATCAGTGAATTCAAAATTATCAGTAGGGCTATTTTCAATTAAATAAGCAAAAGCATCTTCTACATCTTCCGAGGGTAAAAATTTGTGTGAAAAAAATTGTTTCAAACACCTAGTTCAGATTTAGAACTATAGTATTTAAACTATAATCATTTAAGCTGACAATATAAAATTAAATTAATTTTGTGCGCAATTATGTTGTATTTTTTCAAATATAAAAAGGTAAAAAGTGCACAATCGTGTAGTGTTTTTTTCAGGTAAAAAGGTAAATCGTAATCGTGTTAAGCCCCATGTAGCTACATATGGTATCCACTAAAAAGATTTTTGGCATTCTTACAAAATATTACCCACATCTTTAAATTATAATGGATAACTGCAGTCATTGCCCATCGAAAACTAAACGTATGAAATATTCAAGATTATATAAACGTATTAATGCTGTAAGAGTACAAGCTTAAAGAGCAACATTTAATATTACACAGAAATACCAGTAAAACTGGTGGAAAATCTTGTGAAGGGTAACTACCTATTATTTGCATTTGAATTAAATTATACAATTTGATAATAATAATAATATCTACCTACTAACTGATTAAAATTCATATTAATTCTTATATGAATTTATAAACAATATAATACCTATACATTAAAATATAATATAATAATAGCGTTAAATGGTAAACGAACGGGACATTTTACGATCAATAAAAATTTAATATACCTGTACATTAATTTTAACATAAAAAAATTATATTTATAGAAAAAAATCAAATATTTTGAGTGATCCATTAAAATTTACAGGTGATTTAAAATGTATAACGCTTAATAAATGTATAAAATAATAATAAATTTGTATAAAAATTATTAAAATATACCTAACACAGGTTGTAACTGGTCATAATGACTGGTTTTATACTCAACTAAGATTTTATTAGTTATGTATTATTAAAATATTTAATGGCTAATTTTAGTTATTTGAATCTGTATAGTGCAACTATATTTTCAACACATATGACAGTGTATACTTATCATAAAATCGTGTATCATATTAATTTATATTAATCATATTATTATATTAAGATAATAAATATATAGTGCTATACCTGACGACGAGTTATTATCCGCGTATGCGTTTTCCGGTTCATATTGTTCCGGACTGGGTGCGTGATCCGATCCTATCCCGCTAGACCCACCACTCGATCCCATTTTCGTACCGGATCTTCGAAAATCTTGCTGCAGTCTTGCACCAGTACTGTTGACACCAACGATATTAGCACTCATGCACCGTCTAAAGTCGATACCGTTTAGATTTCCGCGATGTCTGTGGACGGTATCATAATCTCTGGGCGGCAACAAAATCGGAACACCACCTGTCTTGCCTCCAGTACCCAATTTCTTTTTCAACTCGGCCGCCAACGAATCGTACAGGGTCGTCACATGGTCTGTACCCGGCACCCCGCTTTCGGGCGATAACGGCGGTTGTGGCGGAGATTCTCTTTTTCGTTCATTTCGAACGTTGCAGTGTGTTTCGGATTTCGTCTGTAGTCTCGATTCGATGTCATTGAGTTTCTTCTTATTCTCCGGCCGGTCCACCAGCATTCGCAATTGTGTGGAGAGCAAAGTAGCCGTCTCTACAGTGTCACAACGGTAGACGTGCACATGAACGGGCCACTTAGTAACGGGGTTGTAGAGGAGTAAGATTACGGCCACCAGGTCCTCGTCCTGATGGACGCAGGTAACCGCGTGATCGGGGATCAGGTGCTTAACCAAGTCACTTTTCGAACTTTTGCCACCCGGCAACGAAATCAATGCTGAAACATTGTGCACGATCTTTAATCCCCTGTGACTTACTTGGAGAGTGAACTTATACGGTGTCACTTTCTTTTCCCTTTCCGCCAAAGTCGATATCACGGGAATTATGCTTTCTACGTCTCTCACATTCTTACATTCCTGAGCTCCGAGAAACCAAACATAGTACGAACTTTTTTTTATGTCTTTTTTCATAATTGAATCTATTTCTCGGCTAACAGATACACATGTAAAAAGTGCTATGCTATACACTAAATAAAGTAAATCACTAAAACACAGAATATAAAAATAAAAACATTCAAAACCGCGACACGACGCAAACCATACACTGTACACAAAAATAAGACACAACAAGTAGACGTTTGAAGAGTAACTGATAGTCGAAGTTTCAGGTGTACTACGGCAGTATAGTGGAAGTAGTAGTGGTACCGGTTCGTAGTTGGTATTTGAAAGGAGCATAAAGTAGGCAGCGCTGCCAAGCGAAAACGAGATAATGTCCTCGATGCATATTAAATATAATCGTAATTTTTATTCACAGTTTATAATCCTTAAAACTACTTAACATTTGTTCTAAATCAAATAAAAATAAAAATTGTACACAAATAGTAGATTCAATATATTATAGGTTTTTACTAAAATTTTAAAACAAAACATTAATATAATTAAACTAATAATTGACGTGGTAATGCTTAATGCTAAGTAAAAGTGCTAAAAATAAATATGACTTTTAGTTTTTAAAGATTAAAATTTTTAAATATTATAATATACAAATAAATCGGTCATTTTGAAATTTTTGTATGTTTTATCACAATATATGGTAGGCGTAAGTATGCGAAGTATTTGTAAATATAAAACGTAACCACCCATAATTGAAAGTTTTAAAGACGATCCGGATACTCCCATCCGGATATTGTGGCCTACATACCTAATACCTATAATATAAAAATTTAATTTAATGGATTTGACCGATTTTGATTAAAAATGATGGGAGTATAAGGTAAATTTAAATATTTCTAAAATATTTACTGAACAAATAGATAAAGTTAAATAATTAAATTGACATTAATTAATAATATTTATTTATGATACATTAATATAACTAAAAATATCAAAACCCATAATATATTTAAGTTGATCATCGGCTTCGCTAAGACACAAACTCGAGTATAAAGTAGTATGTCTAAATAGTAAATAATAATTTTAATTTAATAAGTAAAGTTAAATATGTAGGTATGTATAAAGTTATTTAAGGTGTATACAATATTTAATTATAAGTTATTGGGTCTGAGTGATGAGTGATGTAATGTCATGTTTAAATCCGTCATAATTATCAAACTTATGTATATAATAGGTCATATTAAAATATAAAACATTTATTTTAGATTCTAAGCGAAGCAATGAATGTATTGGTTTTGTAATAATATGTAGGTTTTTTTGTGTCAGTTATCTCTTTTTGAAGTAGTAAAAATGCATAAACTTTAAGGACGGTTTTTAGTAACTAATTGGATATTTATAGTCGGTACTTTAGAGTTTAGAGGGGTAAAAAATATTAAATTTCCAGTTCTTACTTTACAAAATAATCAGAAAAAAACTAAGCATGCAAAAATGTAAATATTTACGTCATAACATAAATTTTTAACAAAATTAAATCATAAAATTATACTTGAAAGTTTTCTCGAATATTTAAATTACCAATTTCTAAAAAAAAAATATAATTTTTTTAATATTTTGGCTTGTTTTAAGCTATTTATTTGCATTTTAAATTTTCGACTTTATTTTTAAATTATTATTATAGATAATTTTTTTTGTCATATTCAAAAGAGATTAAAAATATAGTACACATTTTCTCATAAGTTATTTTAAAGAAATTAAAAATTATTAAAAATATATTTGTATAATTTTTATTATACAGGAATATTTAATGTTCAAATTTTGACGTAATTGGATCAAAAATAACGATTCTAGTTCAAAAAATATTAATTGTAGGAACTTTCCATACTATAACATATATAATTATGGTCTATTATCTATAAGGTTCAAAAATTGTTTTGTGAGTATGATTAGTGGTTTTATTCGTCCCGTGAATAAAAATCAATTTAGAGAGTTCAGAACTATAATTGTGCAATTCGAAATGCCATGATAATAGTTTTATGTGTAATAATAAATATTATTCAATAAGAATCCTTCACGTAATTAAAACAATTACTAATAGCTAAAATCCGAAATGCTGTTATTTGCCAAAAATCGTAGTTAAACTGAACATTAGCCAGACCATCTTAACATTGGCTTAGCGTAGGACATCATCCAAATGTAAACAATACCCGTAACATATTCTATACAATACATTTCATGATCCATATGGTTTTCTTCAAAATCAACACAATATTTAACAGCTTGACATTGTAAAAAATAGTTTTTTAGCTTAATTTTGAGAGTTTCCCGTCTATAATTCGAACTTCCCGTTACGAAAATTGTCATCTGGTTTATGTACGTACTTTTATATTATTATCGTGTTAATTTATCAGCCGTTCTCTCCAAATTGGAGTGAACTATTTCACTATAACCGTAAAAATATCAATTAACAGACATTATTTTTTCATGCACAAAAACAATGTTTGTGTGGCTTAGAAGGAGGAATAAAAACGACAAAAATTTCCAAATTATAAGAATCTTAATTTTTTCTAAAAAAACGTTTGTATTTCATAATTTGTATCATGTTGTAAACAGGTACTCAACAATGTCTTAACGACATATTTTGTGATCATTGTGTTTGATATTTAAGAGTTTTATCAGAAAACAGAACTCATTGTACACGTTTAAAACTCGTATATCATAAATGCAATCTCTCGTGCAACGAACGATGGTCGTCTCGCGTGTGAGAGTATAATGTTATAACATTACACTTTTACACATTACACGGTTTTCGCTCTCCGTCTTCGGCCAAACCATACGCGCCTGTAATTGCCTCCGATTCGCCGTCATAGTTGCGTGAAGTCGAATGCGATATATATAATTTATAAACATTAAACGCATTTTTTATATACATTTTATTTTTTATTTTAAGAAAAAACAACCTGTAATACAATAGTAGACATTACAATAGGAAGCTGAGATGAGTGTAATTGGGCAGTGACTAGGGAAACGTGGGTGAAGCTGCAGGTAGTATCCAGTGGTATCCACTTCGGCACGGTTTATTTAATATCTTACAATAAAAAAAGGAAAAGAAAATGAAAGAAAAAAACACTGATATATTAACGATATGATAATATTAAACGTTTACAATACATTTCTTGTCATTTTGTATACATCTTTTACTAGCTGTTATTTCCTTCTTATAAGAATTATAATTCTTGGTCTCATAAACACCTCTACGGCGCGGCGGTATACACATGCGCGACACGTTACACATATTTTCTATTACGGGGGTGGTGATGAGTGGAAAAATAATCTGACGTGTGTACAAGGAATACTATAGACATTTTAAGGTAAAAAAAAAAAAAAAAAATGTAATTTATAAGTATAAACCTATACGTGAAAAAATGGTTTTAGGGGAAACTCGAGCACCGCAATCCGCAAGTTCGAAGGCTTATGGTTAAGCCAATGTTCATACAGCTACGCACAGCGTATACACAATATAAATTGTATTAATGGCACACGGACTGTTGATTTTTATCTATCAATTACCTGTACATGACAATAATAATAATAGGTGCCTACTATAACATAACGCGTATCTACTTGCATTTTTAATATACGCACATTAGGTATGATGTGACATTGTAACGATAGCAACTATATATTATGTATTATTATTGTCCTCGTGATGATGCAGTCTCTTTAAACTATCATGACATTTTAACTGTCACGATTGATACTATATATCGCGACTTACTATCTTCGTTTGTATCCAGCTTTAGAATAGATACCAATACAGTCGCACTGTTTGTACTTACTATGCCCGTATAAAATTCGTTTATTACCGTTATGTTTAATAATTTATTATAGTATGATAAATGTAATAGGTATAACCAAAAAGCTATATTTTTTGTACAAATATGAACTACAATATTGCTACGTTTTTAGTCTTTTTCACAAGGAAAAAAATAATAATTCATAGAAAATTCTAGGGTCACTGATCCTCACGTCTTTACACCTTGCACGCATTACACCCCCCCCCCCCCCCCCCCCCCCCCCCCCCCAAACTTCTGTAAGTTAACTATATAAATACATTAGGTACAATTATTATTGCCTATTAACAAATATAATGCCGATTAATATTTTCCTAATACACCTATTATTGCGTTTGAATATAATAATTTAGTCAATATAAAAGACGAAATTGAAATATGTATTTCACACACACACAGATATAATATAGCAATTGATATTGCAGCAAGTGAAGAAGGACAAAGAGTTGGGTTGTATCGCATACATAGGTTCTTAGATTCATTTTTTTTTTCATCGAAAGCGACACGATCTATCATATATATACAGAGAGAGAAAAAGAGAGAGAGACGTAGTGAGCGGTGTTATAACAAAATATCAAATATAATGTACCTATGGTTAAGACGCGTGCGTTCGTGGCCTAACCTAACCTACATTCATATTATATTGTAGTCTACAGAAGTTGACTAATAAATGAAACGACCTTGATTGTTTGACTCCGTGACGGATTTTATTCAATTAGTAATTAAGTGCTACAGCGACAAGCGTATATATAACGGCTACAGCCAGAGATACGGTGCCGCACGATCAGAAGAAAAAATACGGTGCTTTTTTCGTACAACGAATTCTCGAACGAAAAAATTGTAAAGGGGCGTTGTCGGACAAAATGTAATAGAGCCGTCCGTAAACCGTAAATAATAGCGGAGTATACGCGATACACTTTTTAAACACATTAAACGATTTCCAACATTATTAACCAATGCGTATCTCTATAGTCTCTAAGGTCGCCTAGGTCTGTGTACAAACGAATAACGAACACTACGCACTTCGATGTACTAATTATAGAAGAATAATAATATGATCTCGATGTATTAACATTATATTACGGTTGAAAGTCACGATTTTTTATTTGCTATATTTCGGTGTTTTAGTACCTATCTCCATGTATTATAACCTATATATATAGTTACATGTTATTATTTATGTGATTTACGAATTAAATATTGGCCATAAACTCATAATCTATATTAATTTTCAGTACTTAGTTACAGTTATTATATTTACCTGCAGCGCTATTTCTGCAACGTGCAGTGATTACCGCCGTGGTCTTTGTAAATTTTGCAATCCGGAAATTTTTCATTCAAAATTTAAATTCGTTTTGGACATTTAAAATGTTGAAATGTTATTATTTTCATTTTAACAATTACATAGCTCGTTATTTTTCTTT